GGGGGTTGGGGCCTTCCCCCCCCCCCCCCTGGCGCCCCTCCGGCCGTCTTTCCCCGCGCGCCCTGCGGCGGGGGGAGGTGCGCGGGCTGGCGGGGCCTGCCCGCCGGGGGCGGCCTCGCCCCCGGGGGCCCCTTCAGCTGAGAGCAGGCACCGCGGGCCCTCTGCTGAGCGAGGGCCGACGACGGCCCCTCGGGGCAGGCCCGGGCCGCACGCATGCCGGACCGTGGAACCCAGGGGGCGACGGGGGGGGGGGGGGGCGCGGGGGCGGTGGAGGCGGCGCGGCGCCGGGCCCGCTGTCGGGCGCGCCAGCCCGCCACCTCCCAATCTACCTCGCCCCCCTCCCCGGGGGGACGGACGGGGAACGGGCCGGCGGGGGGCGCGCGCGTGCGCGCGCCAAGCCCGCGATCCCCAGGCCGGCGGTGAGCGGAGCGACGCGCGCGCCAGCCAGGCGTGTCACACGCACGCCGGGCGTGAATATGCCCCTTAGTGTTTGCCGGCGCGGCGAGCACCCGGTGAGTATGTGCGCCAGGAGAGAAACCCCGGGGGCTCACGCGAGCCGGCGCCGGCCGGGGGAGGGGGGGGGCCACGGCGGCCGGGCAGGACACGACTCACCGGCGCTGGGGGGGGGGGGGCGACTCGGCGCAACCGTGCGTGGGTGTCTGTGCGCCGATGGGCCAACAGGCGGCAGGGGCTGGGGGAAGTCTCACGGGCGCCGACAGTGCGGGTGGCGGCGGCGGCGGCGGCGGCGGCGGCGGCGGCGGCGTGCCCCCCCCCCTTTCGGGCGGCGCCTTCCCGGTGGCCGGAGTCGTGGTTCCCCGAGCGCCGGGGGAGGGGGGAGGGGGCGCCGGCGCGCTGCGCACCCCATGGGGGGGTTGGGCGCGCGGCTTGGTCGCGTAATTACCATTGCCGGGGCCCGAATGTGGCCGGCGCGAACAGGCGTGTTCGCCTGGCGGGCCGTTTCCCCCCTTCCCCCCCCGGTGGCGGCGGGCTCGCCTGTGCCTTTTCCCTGCCCCGGGTCTTGTGGCGGCGGCGGCGGCGGCGCGAGGTCTCTGCCTGGGAGGCGCGGCATCTCTCTCTTTCCCTACCTCTCTCTCTCTCTCTCTCTTTCTCTCTCTCTCTTTCCCTCGGTCTCAGCCCCCGGCCCGTCCTCCCGCAGGGGTAATCAGCGGACCGTGCGCCTTCTTCTGGCCCTGCCTCGAACTGCCCCCCCCAACCCGCTGAGCGGCGCATGCTCCCCGGGCGGCGGTTGTTTGTCGCCCCACCGGCGCCCCTGGCCTGGGG